AAGGGCCAAATCCGCCCTCATCACAAACGTTTTATAAAAATAAAACATTAGTTATTATATATATATATATATATATATTATGAATTTGGCTTGTGAGGGCAATGCATTGCAAGAGACAGTTGAAACGGTGTGAACGAGGTTGTATATTAGGAGGCGAATCAAACTTTTCACTCGAAGCTCGACTCGTTGCCACCCTATCACCCCATTGCATGTATGAATACTTGAATTATCATAGCTAATTTCAACAAAAATCCTCATCATAATTGTGAGGGCTTCCATCATTGATCTAAACCTTGACCACAGCTGAACAGCTTTTCTCTCTAAGTCAATGGATCAACCCGTGATATCGATATCAATATATTTTAAAAAGCTAAAAGAATACAAAAAAAATGGTGACCCTCTGAATTGGTCAAAAGCATTAATGGAGCAACTATGTTGGTCGACAGCTTATTGGTCAAATAGTCGATTAGAGGCAGTGGGCAGTGGGGAACTGGGGATCTCAAGGTAAAAATCAAGACCAGGTAATCCAGCTGTCCCACTGGCCGTGTGAACGACGGATTGGCTTTCAGCCATATATCTCTACAACGCACATACGTACACACATATAAGGGCACATGCGTGTTTGGCTGCACGCCTACACATCCTGATGGCTTGATGACAAAGGATTGTTTTTATTTTTCCCAAATTAATCATTTGGTCTTGCAAATATGAACCCCACATCCCCACCTTTATCATTTTCTTAATATTCTATCTTGTCCCACACAAACAAAAAAGCAAACAAACACTGCAGCCTTTCTACAAATAGCCACCAGTTGATGAATTGGCCTTTGGCCTTTGGCCATTGGGCTTTGTTCTTAATTTTTAATTAACCCCACGCTCCGCCAAATGACATTCCCTCTTTAGATTGATTCTATGCTAATACTTTACATTAGCTAGAATAGAATAATATTAGTTTAATGTAATTTCCTTGATCATGGGGCTAGAATCTATTCCCCAAACCCAACTTGGCAAAGGCACAGATCCACTGAGATATCTTAATCACTGGGCCCCCAATGAGAATGACTCCTTGTGGACCAATATTCCTGGATACTTTCCTTTTATTTGTTGCAGAAGTGATGAGTGGGTTTTTGTAGGATTAGATAAAATAAAAACAGAGGACTTTGCTATGGAAGTGGGAAGCATCATTGCCAGAACCCTAAAAAGGTAAACTAGGGAAAGGCTGGGGGTCCCTATCCATTATTATTACCTACTTAATTCAACTTGTTTTACTAATTTTCTATTTTCTTTTATTTTTTATTGTTAGGTAATTGAGTTTGCTTGCTCCAGCAAAAAGATTTAGAGCTCTAAAATTCTTATGTATCTATATGTGTATGTATGGAATGAATAAGAGTACAAGACTAAAAAAAAGAACCCTTTTCAGTAAAGCAATGAATTAGATGAAAAAAATTAGCTTTGATAGAAGATTTAATACAATCTGTGTTATCATGGAAAGATGGTGTGCGTACATAATTCTTGTCTAATAGGAATAGCTATCTCATGGAGTCTTTTGATTGATCATATCATTATCCACGTGGCTAGATAATAGGTCATTTAGACAAGAAATTCAGCTGACCCATCTAAAGTTGGGTAAATTCCTTGTACCTCCACATGATTTTCCTTTGTACTAAGACCCAACTTAGATCCCTTTTACTACAAAACTACAAGGGATTTGTCAGAGGAAAAGACAATTAAAACAGAGATAACTATTTTATCAAAATGTCCTTCATTATATAACATCCGTTTTGTCTCTAAATTATATATTTAGAAGCTGATATAAACAATCTCATTTATGAATACTACATACAATTGTATCATCTCAATTTTTTATTTTGTTTTAGTTTTCTTCAACTTATTTTCACTCTAAAATTAATTCTGTCTCGTTGAAATTATATAAGTAAAGGGTATTTTTGTCCTATTTATATTTTAAAAGGGCAAAATGGACTTTTGAACAAATTTAAATGACATATGACCCTTTTCATCACTAAAAGCGAGGTAAGCTAATGGAGGGATAAGAATATAAGATAACTAACTCAACCCCAAATTATTAAAAAAGGGGCAGCATTTGACCAAAACCCCCAATATGGGAGGTATAAGTAATTTAACCCCCCCCCCCCAACTTCTTTTTGTTTGTTCTTTTTCTTGTCCGGTGTTCTACAATCAGGACAGTCCATCAACTGACAAGGTTAGCTGGGGAGTAGTTTGGCGGTTCAATTGGACGATTACCCATTGGTCCAAACAAAGCCCTCAAATAGCAAAGACTTGGTCACTCTCAGTCAGTTGTCTGGTTCATAAATTCAATTCACCCTCTGAACTGCCTGGTTCAATGTTGATTTGAAAACAATTGTTGTTACTGTTATGCAGAGAAATACTTCAGTATCTTAATTCTGTCGCTTTTTTGTTCTAGTTGCGATTTATAAGATTTATCCGCTTTCTACGTTGGAGGTCAATCTATTATTAGAAAGCATTTTATACCACACATATTTCATATGATATCCAGTGTTTTCAATTATATTCACTATTGATGCAATTGGTTGAAATATTTAAACCGTCTCTCGGTTATGATTATGGATTTGGTTTTTTTTTTAATTCAGTTTTGACAAAAAATCATTGACTTGGTTAAAAATATCCGATCTAAATGCTTGAACTGTTGATCATTTGACTCAATAATGATGTCGCGGATTATACACTAAGGGGGTATTCTAAAAACTGATTTTGCTAATATGGTATTTGTTTTTGTTCTCAAAAACAAAACCAATCAATCTGTCGAATACCTTCTAAAATTTTCAGAGACTATAACTGTGCTCGGTTGTCTAATAAGGGTGATATTTATATTTATTTGGGATAATTTTTTGAGATTTATATATCGAAAGGTACCAAAGACGCTTCAACCCACTATTTTCTTTAAAAGAATGACCTAAATTCCCAAATTCCAACATTTTTATAAATAAAAATTTAAAACTAAAATATAAATAAATAAAACATAAAATAATAATAATTATATATACACGTATTAGAGGAAAACAATGCTCAGTCTCCATATCGATTTTTAAAAGTTCGGATAATATCACATATGGGATCCACCTAACCGATATTCTTGCATCCTCCCTGACAATTTGGCGTTGCTCAGAGGAGGGAGGGTGGGCTTATAAGTTATAACCCATACAAGGGGAACCGGAAAGCCAACAGTTGGCCTTGCTTGATCATGGCATGTTCGGAGTGGCCCAAAGGCCAATAGGCCGTCAGCATTATTGGGTTGGATTCTAGTGCAGTGGAATCAGGAACGCCAAACCAAAGTACAGCCTTACTTGGCTACTATTTGAGACTCAGTTTAGAAAAGTGTATAAATGCATAAATATGCAATGCAACTGTTGTATTTTGTATTAATAAACCTTGTATTTTGTAATTTGTATGTATTTTTGTTATATATATTTTTATTTATACTGTTTCCAAACTAAGCCTAAATTTAACTTTGGAATTATAAATACCATGGTTTTTAAAAACAAACCGGTGATCGAATTGGTCAGGGGTCCGGTTACCGGTTCGAATGGTTGGCCCGTTTTGACAAAAAAAATTAAAAATTGAAAAACGGTCAAAACTGTTCGAACGATTAACCGACTGGTTCAACGGTTTACTGACCAAAATCAACAGTTTTAGGAGAAAAAGCAGTTTTAAAAGAAAACGGAACTGGTCAGATGATCGATTCCCACTTTTTCCAGTCCAATCATCTGGTTCGGTCCGGTTTTAAAAACAGTGATAAATACAAATGTACATTCCGATAAAAAATATAAGGTTTTGAGTTTTATATATTTGTATTTGTACGCCTTATAAATAAGACAATAATACCTTTATTTGTTTTTGAAAAAATCTATGATGCAGAAAAGATTTAGTCAGTTGTTTTTCCGATATCATATTTTTTCCATATCGTAGTCGAACCCGTTTTCATTATTAAGTATGTTTCACTTCTACCCTTTTCTTAATGACTTGCTCTTAGTTTAGTGACAGAGAAGGCGACCTGACCTCGTGGCCAATACAAAGAGCTGACAAAAGATGGATGGTGGGGACCAAGTGCGTCAATATCCACGTGGCAAAACCTCAAATCAAATTTTCTTTTTTTTCTGGGTGATTAAAATGAGAAGTTAATACCAAATTCAGATTTAAAGGTAGAAGGTCAAGAGTCTAAACCTCGATATAGACGCCCACAGCCACAGCCACAGCCACAGGCGCATACGGAGGCCCCATGACGCACACACATATGCATGCACATAACCGAGTGCGTGGGCCGCCAGAGGAAGTGCGCAAGCGGCGAGTGCGGTAGAAAAAAAAAAAAGCTACACCATTCACCTTCACCATACGTAGAACGAAAAACAGCATTTTTCTCTCTCCACTAAAGACCAAAGAGGAATCGAGGAAGCAGGTATGTGTATGCACTTAGTACGTACTAACCATTTAGTGGTGGTTCTGGCAGCAGGATTTGTACACTTGTTCTACCAGACTACGACCCCCATTGATCCACACCATTGATTTGGGATATCAACCTAAAGTTATACCATTCATTCAACCTGTCAAAAGAATGCTGGTCCCCAAGAAACAGCTAAGAGCCTAAAGACTAAAAGCAGTCTAAAAACTTCAAAGTCTAAACATCTAAACAGAGAAACTGTCGGCCACTGTTGAAGATAAATCTGTTCATCTCGTCATGCCATCATGATCATGTAAGTAAGGCCAACCTATAGATTCCAACCAGTTTCTGATCTATTCTCTGCACGGTATAGCTTCCTTCCCCAATACTGAAATTTTACGGAATACAAACTCAAAAATTTCACAGTATACATGAAAAAAGAAAGTAGAGTGGCTTTCCATATTTTTTTAGTAATTTTTATCTTTGAATTTGCTTACACACCTAGATGGTTACCCAGTTACCACATTACCTGACACAAAGAACATCTGGGGAAGTGAGAAAGAGGACACCCAAAGCAAAGAACATTAGAAACCCAGAATCAAGTGTAATTCTTCTTTGTCTTCGTAACCAAGGCAAAGAATAACAGAAATCAGTGTCCATTTACCCCCTATAAAAATATCACAAAAGCCTAAAGCTTCAGTCTTTGTATCGGAGACCGGAAAACCCATAATTTCTTCCAACTCTTACTTTTCTCTTTTTTCCAACCAAGATTAAAGAAACTCGACAAGCTCTCAAAATTTGGGTCTCTTTCGATCACAATCCATTATTTATCCTTCCATGCCAAAAACCTCTTAAACCCGCCCCCCCCCCCCACCCCACCAATTTGGGTCTTTTTTAATCAAGTCGTGCCTGAAGGTTCTTGTGTCAGAACACCAAACCAACCTACTTGAAGCTCTGAGCTCTGAGGGAGAGATCACTTTGGGAGAGAGACAGACAGACAGACAGACAGAAAGAAAGAAAGAGAGAATTTGGAGTTCTAAAAGCCTTGGAAATGGTGAGATAGCAAGCTGGGTGTGCTTGGTGGGAGGTGTGTTTCCATGGAAACAACTCCGAATTCATGGGGTTTTGCTGATCGCAGAAGAAGACAATGCCAATGTATACAAATACAAACACATGTAGCAGAAGAAACAAGGCACAGAAATTTCTCTAACATGGCAACTAGCTGTTGCAGGATCTCCCCAATCATTTCCATGTTTGTTGGTTTTCTTGTTATTGCTTCTTCTGTTGGTCCCGTCGTCCCGGTATCGATTTCATCTGAAGTGAATGGGCGGCTTCCGGCAAATCAGACTTTCCGACCGGGGGAGGAGTTGCAGAAGTTGAAGAGGATTAAAGCTCTACTCGGGGCAATCAATAAGCCTGCTGTCAAGACAATTCAGGTATTTCTACGAGAATAAATTTTCTTTCATATCCTTTTCCCCTGATGGGACTTTCTTTCCTTGTTTGTTTCGTCTAAAAAGATTTGATTTTTTTTTGTTGGTTCTATGGATTATTGTTTACTGTTGCAGAGCCCTGATGGCGATCTCATAGACTGTGTTCTATCACATCAACAACCAGCCTTCGATCATCCGCTGCTTAGAGGACAAAAACCATTGGTAATTCATAGTTGAATTCTTCGAGCACTAATTTGAACTTTCTTTCTTTTACACTTTTCTCTCTTTAATGGGTTTTTGAAGTCTTGGACTTGGGAGCTTTGGGAGTGGAATTTAGGAGACAAGAAGTTGTAAATGTTTCTTCTTTTTGCAGGATCCACCAGAGAGACCGAAAGGCCATAATCCAACAGGTTCTGTGCCCGAAATCTTCCAGTCATGGACAATTTCTGGCGAATCATGTCCAGAAGGAACCATTCCGATCAGAAGAACCAGAGAAGAAGATGTGTTAAGAGCTACTTCTATTCAGAGATTCGGAAGAAAAGTGAGGAGAGCAGTGAGACGCGACTCCTCAAGCACTGGCCACGAGGTTAGTTATTAAAACAGAAAGCTGAGTAAACACCCAGAAATTGTAGAGAAAACGGGAGTAGGCAAGACGACTGTAGCTTGATATCTGAACAGACTATAAAATGCCAACCATAGAAAATGATGATTCAGAGGACAATAAAATGGCGTTTTCGATCTTTAAAGAAAGAAATGTCGTTTTCAGATTTTGCATTGCAATCTATGGTCGGCCAAAAGCTTTCCACAACTCCCTTGATCCTCTCCTTCATTTCGGGTTCATAACAGCACAAATACAATGGATCAAGTGAATTTAGGGGGAGGGAAAACATTGACAGAGTTAACAGTTTTCTTATCTCTTCTGTTCTTTTTTTTTCTTTTTCTTTTTTTTTTTATGGCGGGGTGGGGATGGGGAATTAATTTTCCTTATACGACAAAAACCTGCTGTCAAAATCTCAACTCTTTCCTACCCAGCAACCAAACAGGGAGGGTAAGTTTCATTAAATTTATTATAATTTCATTAAAAAAAGACACTAAAACTGGCAATATTAGAAACATGAAAAGAAGCTTCCTATCTGAGTAAAATAGCAAGTTTTGGTAGATGGGTATTTCTTTACTTTCACTGATGGAGCATTAAATTTCATATCTGCTTACATCAATCCCAAACTTCCATGTTTTTTTCTCTGAAGCATAGTAGTTTCACTTGTTTCAATGAACAACAACTTTCATCAATGACTACTCTGTGATTTCCTGAACGTAACTACCCATTAATTACTCCGCCCAGTACTTTCATCAGAAGAATTCTTCTGTAGAATTAAATTCTAAAGTTTGACGTTTAATTGAAGAAAATAAACAAATCGAGGAATTTCCTGAATGTAATCGCTTTCAATAATTATTTATTTATTTATTTTTAGCTTGTGTGCTCATACTCAAAGTGAATTCCAATTGACAACAGCATGCAGTTGGGTATGTAATGGGAGATCAGTATTATGGAGCAAAAGCCAGCTTGAACGTATGGGCGCCCCACGTAGCTAATCAATATGAATTCAGTCTGTCACAGATGTGGGTCATCTCTGGTTCATTTGGCGATGATCTCAACACCATTGAAGCTGGTTGGCAGGCAAGTAAACCACTTCGACTACTAATTAGCTTAAAACCAAAGGGGTAGGTAATTACTAATTAGCTTAGGTTCAATTACTAAAACCTTCTACTTGTTCTCATTCAAAACCAGTTATTTCTGCTCAACTACCTCTCCATGAAAATCCCAGATTTGTTCAGTATAACGAGTCTTGATGCCTCTTCATTGTTTTTATAAATCCAGGTGAGCCCAGAGCTATATGGAGACAACTATCCTAGATTCTTTACCTATTGGACGGTAAGTCTGTACTATTGAATATGGATTGCTTTCCATTAAGATCATGAGATTAAATGCTAATTTTGCCTTGGTTTAAAAAAAAATATATTTACAGAGTGATGCATATCAAGCCACTGGATGCTACAATTTGCTCTGTTCTGGCTTTGTCCAGACTAACAACAAAATCGCCATTGGAGCTGCAATCTCTCCCATATCGGCTTATAATGGTGGCCAATTCGACATTAGTTTGTTGGTTTGGAAGGTAAATTTTAATTTTAATTCCAGTGTTTGTTGAATGGAAATAATGTGTTGGGAGAAAGAAATTTATTTGAAAAATAGGTAGTTTTTACTTTTTACAGTTGTTTTTCATTTTTTTAAAAGTTATTATGTGTGGTAAGGCTGGATGGTTTGCCTCTCTGTGTATCTTTTGACTTTAAAGTAAAATGGCGAGCTCTGAGGAAACAACGTTGATTAATTGAACTTGTCTGACGTGATGTACAGCAAGAGAGGATTAGCTACTCCGAGGTACAGCATTATTCTTATGCTTGCATCATCAGCTGGTGCCTATTTACCGTTGATTGTCCTTTAGTGGACCCGATGTAGGAGATCCCTTAGCTAAAGTTAAGCTTGATTGGATAGATTGACTTTGACCATCCTGTGGAGTTTTATTCGTCCAAAGAGAATCAGTTCTCGGGGTTTATAGGAACCGTCCGTCTAGCATATCTCGTTAGAAAGCCCGAATCGACAAGAACAGGATTCTTTAACGTAGAGAAGCCCAAATTAGTTTTTTTAATAATTGTAGCTAGCAGTCTACCACCAGCCTGCTCCTTCTGTCCCCCCTACGGTACGTTTGCTTAACATGCACCGAGTGGACAAGACGCACGCGTGACAATTTCCCGTTTCTCAAAATTACTGAAATGCCCTTTTACCATCCCTTTTCTTTTCTAAGATAAGAAAGATTCTCCTCTTTTACATACAGAAGGGGTTCGCTGACGCCGGCCTCTCGGCTTTTTCTTTTTCTTCCTCTTCTCAATCTCCCAGTTGGTACGCTCGACTTTGACCGGCTTTTTTCTCTTTTTTTTCTGAAAAATGAATTTCAATAGGAAAATGTTCATTTTTCATGGCTATTTTACGTGCAACCAAATGCTGTAAAATAATATTTTCCAATAAGTTCCGGAATTCTTGTGTGTAGGATCCAAAGCATGGAAACTGGTGGCTGGAATTTGGATCAGGATTGCTGGTTGGCTACTGGCCATCATTCTTATTTAATCATCTACAGAACCATGCAAGCATGGTACAGTTTGGAGGAGAAGTGGTCAACAGTCGACCAGGTGGTGTGCATACGGCAACCCAAATGGGCAGCGGTCACTTCGCCGGAGAAGGATTCGGAAAAGCTTCTTATTTCCGGAATTTGCAGGTCGTCGATTGGGATAATAGCTTGGTTCCTCTCTCAAATCTTCGAGTCCTGGCCGATCATCCAAATTGCTATGATATCCAAGGAGGGATTAATAGTGTTTGGGGAAACTATTTCTATTATGGAGGTCCAGGAAAGAACGTGAAGTGCCCCTGAAGGAAATGGATGGTATACAAGTCGCAGAATTTTTCTTTCATTTTCATTTTTTATTTTTTAAATTTTTGGGTCGATTTGGGTTTTCTTTCCAGATCATTTTCCTTTTTATTTTATCTTCTTTTTTTATTAATCCATTTTTTTGGTTCTAACAGATGATCCATTAAATGTTTAAATACACCACCTCTAGGGATTTTATGTAAATGTGAAAAGGAGAAAATATAATGAATATACTATGGGGTTTGTGATTTTTGTATCTCGTCTTTTCTCTTAACCATTTCGTCAAACATATGAATGGCAAATGCAAGTCTATAGAGACTTTCAAGTCAACCATAAAACTAGCGGAGAATGGCTGGAGCTATGGGATTTTACTAAAACAATCACAATCCATCATCTTACACTTGCACAAGTCGGTACTCGATTCAAAGATTTTACACTGCATTGGGCCCAGGCTTTGCGGACTGGGCCCATTCAAATTTTAACCAGTCTTCCGGACTGAGCCCATTCAACTTTTAACAAAATCCCAACTTGAGTTGAACCCGCCAAGTTCCACCTCAAGGAGGCTAAGAAAACGTACAACTTGTAAATAATTTGAATTTTTAAAGAATATATGACTATATGAGACGGGAAACTTGTACTTTCATATAACTTTTAATTGCTTTTATAATATATTTATATTTATTGTGTGCATGTATTTAAAATTTAATATATCATACACATATGTGCCAATGATTCTACTTTGAACTAGTTATAAAAATGTGTTTTGCATAAACACGTATTTGGCTGATCTTTTACCATATTATATTTTTGGCATACTCTTTATTCTTGGTTCTAAGTTTATAATAATAATAATAATAATAATAATACTCTTATGTCTCTTCATATTCTTCATAGGGAGAGATACTACTAAAATAGGATGTCTTTTGGCCGAATAAACTAGAAAATAGAAATATACAATTTAGTTGTAATTCTCATATGTAAATAAGCGAATGGGCAGAAGACTTAAACCTCCATTGAAGTTGCGGATAAATACTTACATCTCCCCTCAATTTTTTTAGAGGAAAACCTCCCTTGCTAGAATAATATACAGTTATGTTTGACAGAATTAATGAGAAGACTATTTTGCCCTTCAACCCCTTTCAAATTTTCAAAGAGAGCCATCGATATTGGATCGAATTTGTCAACCATATGCAGTTGCTACCACTTTCGAAAACTAGACGTTTTTGCCCTTCACCCAATCTACTGCCTATTGGTAGTAGCACAAAAGCAAAGTCGTTTGAGAGTAAGCATTCAATCTCCAGTCCAAAGAAGAAAAACAAACCAGTTAATGGTAGTCAAGTGTTTGCTTCAGTCTACATACTCCACTCAAAGTTCAAACCTCTCACTTCTGAAGAAAAAAAAAAAGAAAAAAAAAAACAAAACAATGGCATATACTTTTAAATAAAGGCCCCGTTTGTTTTTTAGTAAGTTATTTAACTGGGTAGATGTAATTACCTAGGTAAGTTTTTCTTGGAAAACACTTATCCGGATAAGTGTATTTACCCATGTTCTTTTATTTTCTAGGTAAATAAGGTAATGATCATTTTAGCCATAAAAATCCATTATTAAAAGGGGCATTTTTGTCCCATTCAAGTGTTAGCAACTTTCCCCCTGGGTGGGAAAGTTATTCACCCACCTAGAAGATGGGTATCACTAAGTGGTACTCAGGAAAATAAACTTTTCCCGGTCCTCACATAAATCTGAAAAATGAACATGAGATTCTTGGTCAATGGGAACCAAAATTCCATTGACCAACCTTCCCCCCTCTCAAAATCCAAAAAAAAGAACACCCCCCAAAAAGACACGAATAAATCTAAGAAAACCATCAAAATCCCAATAAAAAAAGTTAAGCACCTAAATATTAAGTAAATCTAGCTTTGGCTCTTCAGGCAACTTCACTTTGATTATCGTATTTTCCATGGAAACTCCCAAAACCCCAATTCAAATTATCCAAATAGGGACGCTAGGTAACCCCGACTACAAAAAAAAAAAGTGATAATTCTCTTATATTATATCTTTAATAGAGAAGGCAAATTAACGAGAAAAAATATGGAGATAGGTATTTCAGAAAGAAGAAACTCGATGGAGAAAAATCAATATAACCTGAAGGGGCAAATTTCGATTAAAAAAAAAATCACTAGAAACTCGATGGAGAAAAATTAATATAACCTGAAGGAACAAATTTCGATTAAAAAAATCACTAGAAACTCGTGGAGAAAAATCAATATAACCTGAAGGGGCAAATTTCGATTTAAAAAAAAAAAAAAAATCACTAGCCCATCATGTCATATGCAAACAGTTATTCATAATCGTTAACAAAAGGGGAGGTGCTTGTCCAATGACTATAATCTGACAGGGAAAGTCCTAGTCTATACTTAAAAAAAAGGGGGTAGTTTCATTATTTAGAAGAGAAGGGAGGTTTTAAATCTAAAACGTTATTGAGTAATAGTTAATAATAGTTGTTTTAAGGGAGAATGACAATTCAGCCCACAGGGTCAGAATTTGTAGGCCCAAAGTACTGTTGGGGTAGGTGTCAGCTCATAATTGATGCCAATTCACAGGCGGGCGGTGGTGCATAGTGTGGATTATTGCCATTTTGAATGTTTATAACTCTGCATTGGAAAGAAATCAGCATTGGATCTATCTGTACTTTTCCGTTGTTTTAATCATTTGATAAAACTTGTATCTTGTAAACCTTATTGGTTGAGAGAGAGAGAGAGAAAGAGAGAGAGAGAGAGAGAGGATAAATGTAACAAAAAGAACAACCAAGAGCTTGAACCCATTGGAACCAAGGGAAAATCTATGCCACTAGAAAATCATCATACCAAAAGGGTTTTGACCAATCAACCCCCCCCCCCATGAAAGAGTAAATTTCTTAAACTACCCTTATGTTTTAGTTAATTGACTAAATGTCCCCTTACTGTTTGAAAATTGACTAACACTACCCCTACTGTTTTTGGCAATTGACTAATCCTTCTTTGTCAGTAATGTGTGTCAATGGAAATATGAAAATGGCTATTTTACCCTCTACTTTTCTTTAAATTTTGAAAAAGTGTATCTCTCCCTCTCCCGCCCGTTCTTTCTTCGGAACCGCCAGAACTATAGATCTCTCCCTCTCCCTTTCATTCTCTTTTCCGGAACCGCCAGAAAATTAGAGTTTTCAAATCTCTCCATATGTTGATCATCTATGCTGGAGCCCATTCTGATTGAAAGTTTTGGTGTCGATACTTCTGAAAGATTCAATTTTGGTATCGTTGGCTTTGTCGCATGTGATAGTTGCAGTTGAACCATTGATCCTTTATCCAAACCAAAGAGCAAGTTAGGATGGGTTCTCTCCTTATGGCTTGATGAACTTAAATGGGACGCTCTGCGTCTATGCAATCATATGTAACCACGAGGGTATGCCGCTGAAGTTATCAAGGACAAGAGTTGCTTGGGAGGATTATTTCAATGCATTGGATACAGATTATGATCACAGAGCATTGGATATGGGCATCAATAGATCCTTATGTGAAGAATGAAGCCTTCAAGATGTGTTCAAGTGGAAGCATCTGTAAAGGGTGTTGGGGAAGCAGTTTGGGGTTCAAGAACGGGCTCCAGTGTAAAATCAAGACAAAAAATTGACCTCAGTTTTATTTCAGAGTTGGAAGTTCATAAAATGAGAACAAAAAAGACACATCCTAGGTAGATTTTCTCTGCAACCAACCAGCACAAACTAGTGCTATTTCAAAAATCAGTTCTGAAATCACTTATGTAGGGGTGTTCAAGCAAAGAGTGGACTTCAGAAATCAGTTCTGAAATCACTTATGTAGAGGGTGGTGTTCAAGCAAAGAGTGGACTTCTGTTTTGTTTCAGAGTTGGAAGTTCATAAAATCAAAACAAAAAAGACACATCCTAGGTAGATCTTCCCTACAACCAACCGATGCAAACTAGTATTGATCACTCACAAAATCGACGTTAACATGTGCTGGGTGAAACCAAATACCACTAGGTGAGAGTAGTGAGTAGAAAAAATAGGTTTGTGAGGGAGAATTTTCTGCAATGGTCCAACCGGACTGATTTTGTGCCGATAGCTTTTACTGGTAATTTTTGAGCCCTTGAAAGATAATTCGATGCTCGTACCACCATTACTGGTTGCACCCCAGACTTTAAATTTTTATCGGGTTTTATTTTGAAACAGGAACTTAGTTCCTAGGTTTTCGTCGGAACTGAGGATGTTGGAACTAAGATCTCTTCACTAGAACTGAGATCGACATCTCTGCTCCTGGGTTTTCGTTTGAAACAAATAAAAAAGTAATGAAAGAAGAAAGGTTTTAGGGATGGTATTTTAGGAACAAAAGTCAAAGGGATGTGAAAAGGGCATTTTAGGAATTTTTAATAAATATATCAATAAGTGATGTCACATGTAACGGAAAGTTAACCAATGCTAACAGTAAGTGTAGAGTTAGTCAATTGTCAAAAATAGTAGGGTAGTGTTAGTCAATTTTCAAACAGTAAAAGTACACTTAGTCAATTAGCTAAATCATAAGGGTAGTTTAAGAAATTTACCCTTTTGATAAATACCACCTAATTGGTTATCACTTTTATGGCAATGGTTCATTGGTAGGATTGGCGACTGGGCAAGGCAGGGTCTATTTTTGCATACCCCATCTTCATCCCCACCCCTTACCCTAGTGGGGATGAAAATCACAGCCCCATCCCTGTCATTGTAATGGACACGGATTCCCAAATTTGTTCCACCTCCCCCGGCCATTCCTGCTTATGAACTTTTGATTTTGTCTTGAAACTTACAACCATTTTATCTTTAAAGTAAATCTTTTAGAGAATAAAATCTCTCTAGGATCACACCTAACAATTTAAGCTTTTTAGGTTAAATAGTTATTTGGATATCAAAGTTTGTTTAACAGTGATCCAATATTAGACACTCGCTGCCCCTATTATAATTATTTTAAATTTCAACACAAGGTATGGATGGGCCTGTGCAATTATAGTTGCTTTAAATTTCAGCACAAGGTATGGATGGGCCTGTGTTTGTCCAAAACTTCATGCCCAATAGACTAGATTTTCCCGATTCTTTGAGAACCCCCTCCCCTCAACTTTTTATATCTCCTATCAAGGTTCAAAATGGTAAGGCGTATCAGCCTGTATCGATACCGTTTTCTTTTCACATCTGGTTCAGAGGGGCCAGTATACCCCCTGAACCACTTGTCAACCCAAAACACCCCCTGTAGGGGCGTATCAAGAAGGCTCCAATATGATACATATCGGCCAATACGGAACGATATTTTGAACCTTGTCTCCTACCTTTTGCCAAACCAAAAACAGCTTTGAGTCTACACATTCCAGAAGTCATGACACTTCAAAATTTGAAAGAGAAACCCCATTTCCTTCTAAAATACAACTAGCAAGTAGCAACTTAGCTAGTCATGGGGGATCCCATGCCAGATCGTGTCCAGAGACCCAAGATTTTGGCCATCAAAATTAGAGTTTACCACACTTGATTAAAACGAAATAGAGTTGCAACAATTGCAACTGCGACTAACCGTTACAATTTCATTTGCATTAATACAAATGCATGAAAGTGCAATTGCAAATAATTGAAATTCTGGATCACCTTTATTTCAGTTTTATTTTACTTTGTGCACTCCAAATCCAATCAAAGAGAATAAGGTAAAAACTGGAACAAAAATAAACTAAAATTTGTACTTAGTACTTGCATCATTTGTATCATCATGTTTTTGCACCAGTGCAAATAAAATTGAACAGCAAATCAGCAACAAACCAAGACAAAAAGGAGAAAACTTAAACAGTGATATTTGTGCAAAAGTACGAACACATGGAGTGGAAGTTAGGTTGGCCCAGTTTGTAAAGATTCAAATACAAATATGTACAGTACAAAATACAAAATACAAGGTTTTGCAGTCTACATATTTATATTTGTTCTCCTTCCAAACTGAACCTTAGCCTGCATTTGGTTGCAGTACAATTTTATTTGCACTAGTACACATGCATGAAAATGCAAATTTTGATTTAATTTTGTTTTAGGTTTTATTTTATTCTGCTTCAGGTCTTATTTTACTTTATTTGTACTGATCAAACAAAACAAGTAAAATTTAAAACAAAAATAAATCAGAATTTTCACACAAATCATTTGCACTACCATAGTTTTGCATCAGTTCAAATAGACTTGCACTGCAAATACCAAACACAGCCTTATTGAATGTTCGGTTGTATAATAATCAGGAAAAAAACTGAAATTTGGATGATCCGTACTTGTTAATCAACCAAAAAGGAAACGACTAATAAAAATTGGTACAAGGTATTTCAACGGAGCGATGAGTTCATTAAAAACAAAATAGAAACTCGGTTTACAATTACGTACTTTCATCAGAGCAAGAGCTTGTACAAAGCCTTTGTATGGGAGCAATGTTTCGTGTGTTTCAGAGGAAGTTATGCCGGCTTTGATCCCACCCTAGTCCAGCATACCCTTTGTTACCAACTGCTTGTAATGGTTCTAGTAAACCTTTTGTACTGTTTCCCAGAGCTTCACCCTATATGCACATTAGAAACGACAAAAAATACAAAGGTAATAAGTTTCACATGTAGCTAAAAAATAAAGGAAGCACTATTTCATTATGCTTTATGCAGCATTTAACAATAAACTTCATGTTCGTCAACCAACTATTAGCTGACTCATCTATTTAAACCATAGTTAGCAGAATTTAAGCTATAAAGATTGAACTTTGACCCCTTAAGCGAGGAGCACAGTTATATATCTATCTCTGCTTTCCCACACCCTACCTTGTATTGGCATGACACTAAAAGTCCCCCCCCCCAACCTGACTGTGGAATCATTTACCAAAAAAAAAAAAAATTGACTGTTGAATCACAACCCAATAGAGAAAGGAGGGAGAGGGTGATACAGTAGTGCACATGTGGGTGTAGAAGTTGTTGATCCATTCTATTTAATCATTTAGTGCCTGTAGAGAACTTCCTATACAAAAATAAATAAATAAAATCTGGAATTTGATGATCCTAACAAACAATTAATATTTCTTGATGCCCAAAGATTACAAAATGGTCCTCTAGAAGATACTGAGCATGTTGCAGAAAATGTCAGTTATGACTGTAGTATGATATTCTATTAATCTCAACTACATACAAGTTTTACATGTTTAATGGGTCAATTCAATTATCCTATTCCTAAGAAAAAGTCATTGAATTAATAATAACAGCCATCCAGGTAGGTGTCATCTAAACTCTTAGTAAATGATGTCAGTAGATAGTAGATGTCATCTACAAGGCAGATTGCATAAAGTACACTTATTAGAACACAGTTCTACATGTCTACTTTATGAGTCTTTCATTTCTCTCCTACCAATCATATACATGTCTTACTTCAGCTATGCAGTAAACTTGGAAAGAATTTAAAAAAAAAAAAAAAGAGTATATAGTTTACCTCTTTCCAACCCATGCTTTCTAAAATTCGCCTGGCATAACTACCAGCTCCAAATGACATGTTCAAGGCTTCAGCAGCAGAAGCAGCAATTTCTGTATCAACAGAACAAGAGGGTGATTCTGTATCCGTATCACCTAACCCTGAAGTCTTTTGGCCTGGGCCCACTCCAAAACCACCATATAAGGCTCTTCTCTCAGCAGCTCTATCCCTGTAAGCCTTGCCCTTATTCTATGAAAAAGAGAAATTCCAACAGGAGAAGGCAATGATGTCAGACTCGAACCATTCTCAAAAACGGAAAGGCCACTGAATCACAGTCTATGGGCCAAATGGTCTAGCCACTAGGTTGACCCAGTGACCCATGACATCAGCTATATGATTATATAATATGTTATTTTAACATGTGTATTAGCTATGTTCCAGTGGTCATTCTTCTTGTTTTCATACAAGTGGCACAGGTTCAAGTCTCACAAATCATGCTTTTGCCAAAACAGATGTACATATCCAGTCAATATAGATATTAGATAAACAAAAACAAACATAAATGGTGTCATTATTGCATGTAAATAGGAGATCACAGGTTCAAGTCTCTCTACCATTTTATTACTTATAACAAAGCAATGACTCAGGCTGATCATTAAAAACCAGTTGGGATGTTAGAATCCAGATGTTTTTCAACAGATTGTCTAGGTTCAGTAGCAGATCAGACTGTTTTATGAAAGAAAAGGAAAAAGAAAAAGAAAACCAGTATTCTTAAACTGGAAAGTTCACCGGTTCCCAAGTCTAGTGGTCCAACCAGTGTTTTAAAAGCAAAAGGCGCAAGGGCCATTTTGCACCTGAGGCGCACACCTTTTTGAGGCAAGGTGCACAATTAAAAAAAAGCTAAAAAATCAAAAAAAATTATAAAACATAATATTAATAAAAATATAAACTTAAGTTTTAAAATAAATGTTTCAAAAAACCTATTATGTAAAATTAAAATACATAAACATAATATGTAAAGCATATTCAAATGAGAATTTAAAAATGAAATCAATCATATAAAACATTTTCAAGCATATATAACCCACAATCTCTTTTTTTTTCAATTGCATCAAGTAGCTAATGTGACATATTACATTCCTAATTCTACAAGCCACCTTTGCTCCTAGGACCTGGGCGAGGCGCCTATCCTAAAATGTGCCTCGCCTGTGCGCCTAGGCGCGCCTTTTAAATCACTGGGTCCAACCTTCTGGTCTGGTCCAAAACTCCAAATCTCACAATGTTGGGAAAAGGAATGCTCAACAAGTGATCTGGGATGCCAAATGAAAAGATATCATCTCCAATTTGCCTCATGACAAAGTTGATACCATGTGATGGCTAGATATGAATCATTTGACATTCCGAGCATTATGGGAATTCATGCCAGGAATAAGCATAATGTAAGGCAATATTTTGGCGTTGCATATATCATGTGAGTGATTCACTAGTCGGAAACTCAAAATTACATCTTTGGATGCATAAATGGAATTACATTAATCTTAGAGAAAATGCAGACTAATACTAATTAAAGTCCTTTGGTCTCTTGCTTCTGGAAGGCAGCTTTAATTTAACTGGATAGTTGGATCATGAGATGTTGTCCCCATCAGGTTTAACTCCTCCAAAGTTTCACATGGTTTGTGCGTTTTTACATATTATCTAAACCATTTGCATATGTATGTATGTAATTGCAAATTGCAAAATAGAGAAGAGACTATAATCTAATTTCAGTGCAAATTGCAAAATAGAGAAGAGAAAGTATAGGTAATTAGAGGTTACCCAACAAATAGGAAATAAGAAAAATAAATCATAATAACAAAATCCAGTTCAAAATATAGCACCCCCCCGGTGAAATTTCAATTTGATTCCAAATTTCAAAAAAAAAAAAAACGTTTTGAGCCAGGTTGAAATGCAGCTTGAAACCAAATTTTAAATCCTTAAGCAGAACTGAATCCACATCCTTAACACCTAAACCTATAGATTACCTTCAATACTGAGATTTGATTTGGCAGTGAAGATGAATCTTCAAAAGCAACTTGATCTGTGATCCCAGATTCAGAGCCTCCATTGAGATTAGACAAGAGACTTTGCTTGTCAACTAATAGATCAGGAAAGCCCCAATCTTTTGTTGGGTTGGCAGAATCATAAGTTGATAAAGAAGCCAAGTATTTTGCATTGGGACTTCTCAACTTATAAACTTCCCCTGGGGAAAAGAAATTGCATGCATCTATGTAAATATTATATTTTTAAATCAGCAAAAAAGATACAAGAAAAAGGAGCAAATTGAAAGTCTTAAAGATTATACATGATGTAAAGACTCTATAATGACTGTGAACAGAAGAAAAATCAGAAGATGTTGGGTGATCATTGGCCAGACAGGGCTTAGCACCTGGTATAAAGGGTTTAACCTAGTCCAGCCCAGTCAGGCCCCAACCCCAGGCCTGAAATATAGGCCCAGTCCAGGCCGAGCTTTTGGCCTACAAGCTTATATACATGCGCATAGTATATACGATGTATGTTGTGAAACCACCATTTATGGTGACACCTATATGGTTTTGTATGTCAAAACAACATGAACAGATAGTAGTGACTAGCAGTTACTTCACTGGAAGTAAATGTAGTTGTCATCAGATGAGTAAAGGCAGACCTGATGCAACCCGTACCAGATCAAGATGTACTTCACATATGGCAGCAGTTTTCAGAAGACCGCCACCAGAAGGCAAAGATGGATGAAGCTTAGTGGACTGTTTTACCAGTCTCCCAACCAGCCTGACTATCTGATGCTTCTTCTTGAATGAGTCTTTAACCATTGCCCAGTCCCATAAATCTACCACAGGGAAATCTGGTAAGTCATCTTCCCCAGATTGTACAACTTGACCATACTGAGCTCGCCATCTTTCCTCATCCTGTGAAGCACCTGTACCAAAATTCCTTCTAAGCAACCAAATGTATTTGTAGGTGTTGGAAAAAAGTCTAGAGGTATTGTACATGCAGCTTTTGGAAGCATCAAATCCAGATAATTAAATCGGTGGCTACACACCTTTCAGGTAATAGGCCATTCAAGAGAAATAACAAACAGAAACTTGGATATGTGTGTGTTTGTCTGAAAGTATAACCTCTCCATTGTGAAGGGAAGCAAGATAAGCATGGCAAAATAAAAATATTACTTATCATAACCTATGGGATTATTTTGATCATATTGTAAATTTTTTTCCTATAAACTTCTTTGTCGCCATGGTTTTTGAGGTGCCGAGGCAAAGTTTGATGACCAGGGAGAGCCTATACATGCCTAGGGGATGAGTTTTGCAAGTAAAAAACATCTAAATCCAAAGTTGATTTATCATTTTGCATAGTAAGTTCATAACAACAATTATCTACACTAACAATTAGCAATTCATCAAACAACTATAATTTTCATACCAAAACATGGAAAATTATCAAATCACAAAAAGGTAGACATTTAAATATATTAGTTCCAATAATAATAACTCGATAAAGCAACTACATCAAAAAAACTAAAGAATATTACAATCACTTCCACACCAAAAAAAACCCCTAAAATAAGTTTCTATATAATTTTTCTTCAATTAAAACATTCACATAATCTGTTTACATGATTTAATTTAGATTTTAGAATATAAAAATCCCAAAAAAAAAAATCAAACATAAAAGAGAAATAGATGCAGAAAATATGAGTTCATAGGTTGTTAATAGTTATTTAACGTTGCATCATGTTTATTTTAATAAAATGAATCAACCAATTAAAGTATCTTGAGATGATGCAAAGTGCCAACCTAGCATCTTTAGACACTTAATTGTCTATCTTGGCACCTAAGTGTGAACCTATTGGGTTGACCAATTAGGCAACCCCCCAAAACCACACAGTCACCCAAGTAACACCTAGGGAGAGACCATGAAACCAAGTTTGTTGTAAACATCTCCTCTACATGTTCATCTTTTGCATCCTTATTCTCCCTCCAATCTGATAGTCTTACTTGTGTATGACAATGTTACTTCCACAGAATATAGTAATGCCATTTCTTTTCTGACAAGATTCCTCCCCTTTACTACATTTCTGCTAGGCAATCTTGGTCATTCAGATGTAAGAGTGGCCTTTATGGATCTAATGAGAGAGGTGATTATGATATTCCAAGGACCTATAGGGGAGGGAGCAGAGATTGTGGAACTATTGCGGAGTGAATATCTTGTTCATTTTATATTTAAAAAAAAACAAAAAAAAAGAATACCTTGTCCATTAGAGAGACAAATTATTCCAAAAAGAATAGCCCATTTAGATGGATCCTTAATCAGCCAACTCCTTAGCAGATGTTTTAATGCCAATATGGAAGCAAGAAAATAATCCATGGTGAAATAAATCAATTTTTAATTTCCTACACCAATTTCATAATTTTTGGATGCTAGGGGTATTGGTAATTTTGAGTTTATTTTCTAATTGTAGATGTCTTAAGATTTAAGAACAGGGTTTTAATTCTTCTAGAAATTTACTTTTGCTTATCAGTATAGAAATTTACTAGTATTAGCTAAATAAAGTTACTATTTATGGTAATTTTCGGACTTACTATTTATGGTACTTCGTGTAATTACTGTAGTAGAATCACAATTTATTATCCTTACTAATACCTGGTTTCTTTACATTAAGTAGTTTTAGTACAATTAGGAAAGTATTATTGGAGTTGTTTTATGAGTTAGAGTCCTTGTTCTCTTAAGGACTTTCCAATCTTGCTTCACCATTCCACTCCACCAAGGGTCTTGCCCTCTGTAAAATTGAGTCCCCAAATCTTTTGTTACTCCCCAAGTCCTTTGGCCTTCCCTGACTCTTAGAGAACTGCCATTTTTTTTTTTTGATAAATTAGAGAATTGCCAATTTCAACATATCTTTTTTATTTTTGGTAATTATTTCACCATATCAATCCTTGGACTCGATATAACAAGTGTATATCTTTCTAATGCTAGGCATTTCCATTTCTTTCCCATATTTTCATGCAGGAATCAGGATATCTTATATTCCTAATTCTTATCTTTCTATTCATGCCATTTTTTATTGTTTTCAGTAATTGCCATTTCAACACAAAATTGTTGGGAAAAGAGTATCTGCACAAAGAATCAATCCTTTAAATTTCAATGGTTACATGAGGTAGGGCTTTGGTATAATTCCCAAGTCAACAAAATAAATTGCTCTTTTTTGGATTTTTTGGACTAAATCTAGTTTATAGGGAAAAAGAAACCTAGATGGATCTGGAGCCTTCAGAACTTCTCTGTGACTGTCACATGTTATCCTTTTTTATAGTCAATTTTCTGATTTTGTGTATGGTCATTGCTTTAAGAGGGGCCTGCCTAATGGATCATCAACTTTGAAACACGGAACACTGGCAAGTTATGGAGGACCCAGACCCATATAAGGGTCTTGTGTTCGCAGATGCAAGAAGCACCCTTTTTTATCTTGATTAAGAGTTAAACATATGAAAACAAGATAATAGCATCCCTCTAACCCCTCCCCCCAAGCCCCACATAGAAAAAAAAAGGCTTATTAAATTCTTTTACAATATTTTTTTTTATTCATCATGATTATGCATCCAGTATTTTGGAAATCTCCATCTGACAAGCATGATACCATGGGTTTGAGTTTTAGAGCAGCCATTTTGTGCAAAAGAAGAAATGCCAAATGTTATGTACCCCTCCCAAGACCCCTGATGTCCTGGACCATCATTGGATAATGGCCCTAAAAGTTTAGGCATCCAGTATATCTCATACTATAAATAAAGTGCAAGACTGCAGGCCTCTAATATGTGTGTCAATGACTCAATGGTTAATCCTCAAAGTGATTGCCTTTTGAAAAGTTGATGGAAAAGAACGATTATGAGTTTGGACTCCTCCAAAAGCCAGCCGACTAAAATTAAATTTTGATGGTTGCAACCTGGGTAACCCTGGTGTTTAAGGTATTGATGGGGCGTTTAGGAATGACAAAGGTGATATATTGCATAGTTTAGCAGGGAGTGGCAACTCCCTAAGGGCAGAACTGATGACAGTAATTCAGGGATTAAAGCTTGCACAAGTGAAAAATTGGATGACATAATCATTGAAGGAGACTGTCAAGTTGTAATTTCCTGGTTGTGCACAGGAAAAGAAGTACATAGACTTTCAGATTTCTGTTAGGGAAGCTCAACCCTTGGGAGGAAATCTGAATTGCTTATTCAGATGTCTGAGACCTGGGATAACATTGTGAAAGTAGGTTACTGGCATCTAAAGAATGGCTGGTCAGCTTGTTGCTGTTTGTATTGTATATACTTCCCATCTGCTATTCATATTTGGATAGCATGATTCCATTGCATTGAATGAAATTCATTCTGTTGAAAGACTATGAATGTTCAGATTCCACATTTACACTATGTAGCATAAAGAGGACAGCTTATAAATCAATAAATACATATGAACAATAGTTTCTTTTGATAATTTGAGAAATATATGTAATAAATTTGACATTGTATGAAGAACAACATAAAGATATAAAACAATTCAAAGAAATGTCTGTATCAACTGCTTAGTAGATTGGTAGTAAACTAACTTTCATCAGTGGCTTGAAAACTAGACTCAGTTGCATTTTGAAGGTCTTCACAGATCCATTCACCTTCTTCTATTTCATAACTATCATCATTTCCTGAAGCAGAAAAGGATAAGAGTCACTAAGGCCTCATCCTTGTCCATGGATGGAAATATTTTTAGCAGATGGACAAGAAAAATCATGAAGAATAACATACTTAATTTTGAGTTAGACTCATCATACACTTCCAAGGGCATCACCATATCAGCAGCATTGATTGCTGACTTGGAATAACCAGTCAAATAGAGCTCAATAAGTGTGTCCTCTAACCTGAAAATAATCATTTATTATTTCAGTGAAAATAAACTCTGAGCAATCTGATGACATAAAGATGCAGAAAGCTAATGACTGCATACCATTCTGAGGTTGGTGGTGGATTTTCAGCCTCATCATTGTTATTGCACTCTGTGTGGCCTATTTACAGGTAAAATGGAAAGTGAACCAGTGATAAATCACCATTCTAATTTCTAATGTTACTGATAGTTATAATTTATATATGTTGGTCTACCATTACCAATGGTACAAAGTGAATGAGCCATCAGAAGGAACCACCTTGGGCATTTTCTACACCTACCATCCAACCCAAATGGTCAAAATAATCCAACTGACTACATTTTTAAGACTTCAAAGTTTTATTTTCCTTATGAAGGAACAACAAGATGTAAACACAGCCCACTGATACCATTTTATGAGGATGGCATCAGCAAATCAGCATATATCTAAGCTAAGACTAAACATGCTTTATACCATGAAACCCCAAAGACTTCCTTCCCAGAAAAGGGGAAAAAAAAGAAATGGTACATCCTAACTAGCCTGCTATCACATAATCCAAAAGTGCTGGTGGGCCATCTTTATGTTCTGTCCATTGGTTGTCAACTTAGATGATATGTGTGTGTGTGTGTGTCATATGCTTACATGGCTCATCTTGCAACTGTATGTTAGAAAGAGAAACATCCTCTCCACTTTGGCAATCTCTGGATTCCTCAGCCTGAAATCCACACATGTTACAAAACCAAATCATGCAAATACAATTAGTAAAGATCTCCAATTTACATATTACAATTCCTACCTTGTTAGATTCCAACAGCACGTAATTTCCATTCTCAAATTTGTAATAGAGGTTATCTCTACTGCTGTAGTACCATCCCGCATTTGGGTCATGATAAAATCCACTACTGCAGCAGATAAAGCCAAGAAATTTAACAAAATCAAAACTAAAAAGAAAATGGGCAAGAAAGAAATTTTCCTATTGCTTTTTTCTTTCTGTAAATTTTAGCTCTAGTGAACTATTTTCAACATGCCCATGTGGTTTTACCAAAAATACATGCTTGAGTCAAAGAAGAAACAGCATTGTAGGTCGCCCCTTAAATCTACATGGAAATAAGATGTCAAGAAAGACAACTAGTAACTTGTCAGTTAATTTTGATGTTAGCATGAATCCACAATACTCTACCTCTCTCTTATCTAAATTTCAAGCTACCTCGCTTAAATATTCATTAAACATTTCCTACGACTACATATGCAATGGCCTCCTTATCCACCACTTGAATAGTGCAAAAGGCCGTTAACTGCTCCAAAAGAGATCTATAAATCATGAGGATCTATAAATTAGCAATATGTTATAGTGCAAAAGGCCTTTAGCTGAAACGAATCATTTCTCCTATATCTTATATACATGAAACCATCCTCGTTTTAGCCATCCAATTTTGGTGATATTTCGTGTAGGTGAGCATGCATTGTTCTTGATCTATTTTCACCCTTATTGCAACATTGCTGTCTCTGCAACAATGATGATCAAATTAAACAATATGTCACGAAATCCACCCCGGGAACCAATTTCAGTTTTCAGACAAACTAGGGAACTAGGGGAAGGAATTGTTATGAAATATTGATCTCAATCGTTATACTCTAATATTAGAATAATAATATTTGTAATAACATGACTTTCTAATCCCCATAATGGATTTCGCTTACACATGATATAACATATTGCTGAATTCTAGGTTGGTTTGCATTCAATTTTCGAGTTATCAAAACCCTAATCATGAAACGTGGAGAAATAAGCCCAAAATTTTCAGACCGGCTAACCTCGCATGGAAGTAGAGTTGAGATTCGTCATCCCATACAAAGGAGCACTCCTCGCCCTGCTCCTGTTGATCTTCGCACTCCCTGGTTCCCGCCATTTCTTTCCATTTTACAGTCGTTAAGGTCGACCCATTAGGTGAATAGCAGCGGCTTAGCGGTGTCAAGTTCAAGTGCGAACACCATAACAGGATTCAGTCAGAGCAAAGTCCATTCGAACAGCCATCATAGATATTCCCGATGCAAGGCTATAAAGGCTGTTCGAACGGATTTTGCTCTGACTGAAGCCGATCTCACGCTGAATTTCGGTCCCGCTGTATGGCTATAGACATGGATCTGATCACGTATGTGCAATACTTGCAAGCATCACGCCATCACCTATGTTACTGTGGCAAGTATGTTGGATGATCATGCGGATGCAGAGGCTGAGTAAGCACACGATTGACACCTGTCCCTCGGAAAAAAGGAGAGCTGCTTAAACACGCTAGAGGGACAGCCGCGTGGAACACTGATTCTACGACTACAAGCTACAAAAGTATTATATTTGGGCTGATAGATTTCTAAGTTTTGAACTTACATAGGCTTGTTTGAGCCTGACGTGAGGGCAAATCTCTTAAATTAACTCTAAGTTTTAGAAATTTTACTTACTCTATACTTAAATCAATGATTAAAATATCAATACCCTATGCCTTCAACCAAGTGGATAATTGCTTCCTATCAGTATCAGTGGCTAATACGTTATGTTTTTTTTTTCTATTTTATCGGTATTAGAAGGGTCCTATTGATTATTTTAAAAGTTTAGTGGTTAAAAAAAATCTTTGTTGGTATTCGAACATATTTGGGTATATATCAATATCAATACAATAATGTCTCAAATCGAGTGTATCATATGGATATTTTGATCTTTCTTAAAATATCCCAGATTTTCTAACAATTGACAATTATTTATAACTGTTATTAGAAATGTGATATGCTATTTTATTCTTCATTCTTTAAATTTTTAAAATAGACACATTTGCCACTATTATGCTCTTTTTTTTCAAAAATAGACTATTTTCCTCTTCCTTATCTCTCTCTCCTATTCTTCCTCTTCTTCTTCTTTTTCTTCCGTCTTTACTCTTTCTCCTCCGCTGTCCCCCATCTCATCCAACCCAACACCAAAATATATGGGATGAGGGAAGTGTAGAGGGCAAATGATGGAACTCAATTTTATTTCTCATTCACTTGACATCATTAAAATTTTAATTAACAAGAAAAAAAGGTGGTTGTGTACCAATGATTTGTAATTCTTTTGATTTCCCAAAGCGTGATGGTGGCGATGCTGATGGGGTGGTGCTAGTCATGAGGGCCAAGCTTCAGTCTATTGTGGCATTAGTATTCTTGACCTGGCTGACTGAAGGCCTTTCTTTAGAAGATAACGTCTCACAAAAAATAGACAACTCGGGATTTAGCTCTCAAAAGAAAGATGACAATTCATCCGATTGCCTTCACTGATTGTAAAATCGAGAACAAGGTGGATGTTGAATTTTATTTTGAAAATTTGAAGAATTTGAAAGCAAAGTCGACCACAAAAAAGAATAATATATATTGGATTTAAACATAACATGGAGTCGCATGTGAATGGATTGCAATGAAACACTAAAGGAAGCTAAATGATTAAGCATGGGGATAATTTAAGTTAGTTTCTAAACAATAGGATTTATTAAATCAATTTCCTAAAACTTAAGAGTAATTTAAGAGATTTGTACTAATGTTTAAATATGGACTGGATTAGGTGAGTGCAAACAAGCATGCGTGCACACACACGCACAATAGTGTGTTATGGGGTGCACTTCCATTCATTAAATAACATGCCATTTGCATGAGAGCCTGAATAACTTGTGCAAACTTACCAAACGTCCTCCATTAATGTTTTAGAAAGTGTGAATGTACTTCATGTAATAGCAATTGGTGGTATTTGTTAACAGTTCAATTTTATATTTGAATTATAGTTATTATTTACCTATATATGCATGCTATTTGGGCTTTCTAAGTGGGTTAAGCCCAGTAAAATGGCACAAATTGTATAAAAAACTTGATCAAACCATAATACAACGGTTTAATTTGATTTAGTTTGGCTTGAAATTTTCTTAAATGCAGTTTATTGATTTGGTCTGAAATCTTCTCCAAATGTATATTTGAGTTTTCTAATTTATAAAGCACATACTTGCTTTGGTTTTGTCCTGGGTTATAAAAATTAAATTTTACTTTATGATATCAACTTATACCTTTATCCTCCTCAAAGTGTATATTGATACAAAATAAAATGAAAATTTTCTAAATTAGTACCCTATACTTTAGAAATAGTCCCAATTGAGTACTCGAACTTCAAAACATGCCATTAAAGAACTTGAACTCCTGAAAACTATCAATTTAGTCCTAGTTGTCAGTAGTTCATCAGTTATAAGTATCACGTGATGACACGTAGATTTAAAACTTTTAAAAATGACAAAACTACACTTTAAAGGAAATATTGTTCATTATCTTTTACCTTGAAACTAAACAAAAAGAGAGGGACTTGTAGTTGCATTGGTGTTTGATTCTCTCCATCCATTGTTCTAGAGACGTGTAGCCGCATTAATGCTTGTCCTTTACATTGTTTTATTTCTACATGTGAAAGTCGCAAAAGCCTTCGGTAGTGGCTCCAATGGCAAAAACTGCAAAAAAAGGAACAAAGCAAGAAGCTAAATGTGTAAGATGGTTAGATAGGGCTGATTTGTTCATATCTCTTGACCATCATAGTAAATGCCCTCAGTTGGGAGAGAATGCAATGTCTTTGATTTCATGATGGCTTTGGATGGTTTGAAAGCCATGGTGAGATGGGTTTCCACTTATAACAGTAATTGAGAAATTGCACTCACTTCAATCACCAAGTGCAAGCGCTTGTATTAATTTAAAGTTGGACTGTTTGAATACAAATAGGATTGAATCACACAAGGATCAAGATAAACATTGTACAAGATATACATTAATTGGATAAGATAGGCTGCTTAGAGTCTGTTTCATCCTGGGTTACGTCAGTGATGAGAGGAGTTTTGTTTATGCAAGGTTTCTTCACCGACATGCCATGTGTTACTCTAACAGCCCCCTCAAGCGATGTAGATTGGAGATCACGTTGAGCTTGGACTGAATGGTGCTGAATTAGCGGGAGTGGAGAGCTTTGGTGAACACATCAGCCAATTGATTCGCAATGGGAACGTAAAGAACATCTAAGTGTCAAGCAATTACCATGTCACGGACAAAATGGTACTTCACTTCAACATGTTTGGTTCGTTCTTTGAAGACAAGGTTGTGTGTTAAGTATGCTACACCAAGATTGCCGCACCAAATAACAGGTCTAGATGGGGGTGGATATGCAATTCATCAAGTAGCTATTGTATCCAGATGAGTTATGTGGTAGCATTTGCAAGAGCACATAACTCTGCCTCTGTGCTGGATCGTGCAACTGCCGGTTATTTTCGAGCACTCCATAAAATCAAATTGGAATCTAGAGAGATGTCATATCCATCCCTAGAGTGTCAGTCATCCACACAGCCGACCCAATCCACATCAGAGAACCCAGTAATAGTGAAGCCGTTGGATGAACGGATGTACAACAATCCAAAGGTGAAGGTACTCCTTAGATATCGAAGAATTCATTTTAGGGCCATCCAATGCTCCGAGGTGAGAGAATGAAGATACTGACAGATTTTATTAACTGTGTATGCAACATCAGGCTGGGTCAGTGTTATGTATTGTAAAGACCCAACAATACTCATGTAACTTGTGGGTCATCAAGAGGAGTGCCATCAGAATGAAAAAGTTTTTCACTTAGCGCAAGGGGGTGGAGATGGCCTTGACTCCATCCATACCAGCCCGCCTAAGGATGTCCAATATGTATCACTCCTGAGAGATGAACAAAGAGTTGGCATCCCGTTGAACCTCAATGCCCAAGAAGAAAGATAAAGGGCCCAAATCTTTTAAGGCAAACACGACTTGAATATTAGAGATAAGATTGGTGATGGCTGAGGCACAGTTGCCTGTTACTATTATGTCATCGATATAGATGAGTACGAAAACCAGATATGAATCTCTAGAGAGGATGAATAGAGAGTTGTCTGCATGTGACCCAACAAAGCCCAAAGAGAGTAGATGAGAACACAACTTGAAGAACCAAGCCCATGGGGCCTACTTGAGTCCATAAAGAGACTTGTGTAGTTTGCAGACATGGTGAGGGAAGCGAGTCAACGAAGCCCAGAGGTTGGGCCATATAGATTTTTTCTTGCAACGTTCCATGTAGAAATGCATTCTGAACATCAAGCTGGCGAATGGGCCAACCAAACTAAATTACAATGGATAAAACTGTTTGTATTGTTGTAGCTTTGATCATCGAGCTAAATGTGTCAGTGTAGTCAATCCCACATTGTGTGAAGCCCTTGGCAACTATACTGGCTTTGTACCTTCTAGAGAACCATCAACTTTCCTCTTGATCTTGTATATCCATTTAGGACCCACAATATTGGCATGGAACTAACCACGACTAATTACGCAAGAGAGCATTAAACTCGATGCACTTGACATTTCTCCATTCTGGATCTTTGTTGGCAGTAGAGAAGCATGTGGGCTCCATTGGTAGAGAATCATGAGAAGCTAAGAGAGAGGCAGGCAACGGATGCTTTGTGGCAATCATAACTATAGGAGGACAGGTACCATCTCGCTGTCTAGTAACCATAGGGTGAATGGATACAATAGCTGGAGTGCCATTAGATGAAGGAGCAACAATTGGGGCAGCACGAACCATGATTTCAATCAAGTCACGCATGTGAGGTGGCGAAGAGGGAGCAACAATATGGTCATCAACTAAAGGAGAAGGTGTTGTACTTTCATTCATTGTAACAGGCTCAGGTCCAGAACTGAGTGGTGGTGGTGGTGGCAGTGAAGAGAGTGAAGGAACTGGATTGGACGTGGTAGTCCATGATGGAACCATGAGAGTAACTCCTGAAGAAGGTCAAAGTAGGGGAACCTATGAAGAAAGTGTAGCAAACAGATACAAATCCTCATTAAAAGTCACATGTCGTGAGATGAATACACGACCAGTGGAAGGTAAGTAGCACTTGTAGCTCTTATACGAGGGACTGTACCCCAAAAACACACATTGTTGAGACTGATATTCTAATTTATAGTTATTATAGGGTCGTAAAAA